ACTTAGATAAAAAATAAATTATGAAAACACAAATGATACATAAATACATTTAACTTAGATGTGTTTTGTTAATAAGGAAAAATGGTAGATTGAGCATAAACCGTTTGAGGAATATCTTGGTTATCCACATCATGGGGGAGGTCTTGTTGTTTACCACTTTCTTCATGCTGATACATAGTTAAGTGAAATATTAAAAAAACGAAACACATGTATATATATGTAAAAGTAAACCAACAATAAACCAATTATAAACTTACCAGCTTTGTTTCTTTAAGACTGAGGATCTCATGCATCACTTTAGTCGAAAAGTCGGTAAACAACTTCTTCAGATCATCAACATCATTCTTGAATAACTTTTTCAAATCATCCAAATCATCCATAATCTTCACTTGCTTTGAAGACAGCTCGTCTAAACGTTGTATAATAGGAGACTCGGTTGGACCGGGAACAGGGAATGTATGAGAACTTTTAGTTTCATTACGGAAGAACTCGTTCCTTTCGACAAAAAACCCGTCCAGCTGAAGCGTCATCTTCTCCGATTCGGTGGGAGTTATATTTTTGAACTGAATGGATAAATACCCATAAAAAAATAAAACAACTTAGAGCAATGTTGTGAAAAGATAACTTAATAATAAAATATTATAAAAAGGGGACTAAGAGAAACCTTATCTGATGGCAAGGTCAAGAAAACCCTCTCGATGAATCGTCTACCACGTGTCACATGTACCTCCCAATTTAACATCCGTGGTACATTAGAAACTGCAAGACGAGTACATATGACTCCATCTGTGCTATCACACACCTCATAAAACCACAACTGGAGTGATAGAATAAACCCTCGTATCCTATAGACATATACTCTTTTTTCAGTGCCATCTAATTGCTGCAGCAAAGTCTCCTTGTTACGAGATGACATCTTTAGATAATCAATGGTGTAGTCGTACACCTCTTTACCCCACGGATAATTATCACAGTCTTGGCTATCAAGAATATCTAACAAACACCTATCAAACAAAAGATTATCCTGAGCCCCCATGAGAAAATTTGCGAGCAAGTGAAGCTTGGCAAGTTTGATTGCATCATGGTCGTTTATCCACGCTCTGTTAAGAAACTGCCCTTTAATAGAATGACGGGACAAACCAACATTGGCAAAATATCTATCAAAAAGACCATCAGGGACAGGAGGAAAACAAAGTTTTTTACACGAGCCATTGCATTTCAGACCACTTATCACAGCGAACTCCTCGACCCCAAATCTCATGATCTTCCCACCAAAGTCAAACCACAGTTCATCCAACCTCGGCTGGTGTACTTCTCGTAATGAAATCAAATTGAGAAGTTGGTTCTGAACCTTACAATGAGGTAGGTCAATAAATTTACCAAAAGCAGAATTTCTAAACATCTCCAATTGATCATTCGACAACAGACGCTTAATGTCAGCAATAGGCGTGGTAGAACGACTGTTATCATTGCTGTTGATTATCTTCACGGTCAATGCTCTTGAGTTGGGAACAATCAATTCCCAATCCTAATAAAAACAACAAACAATTGATACCGACAATAACACTAAAACATATAGGCTAGATCTAACTAGTTTATACAGACATAAAGATTTGTACCTACAATGACATTCTTTGCTTGTCAACATGCATAGCAACAATTTTAGTGATAATCAACAAACAACATGTATAGCAATAATTTTAGTGAGAATAAACAAACATATGAAATAACAAAAAATTGGACAAACTTAAACATAAATTATAAGAACACAGATAGTAGGAAAACATACTTCTAAAGGAAAAAAATACCTTGTGTTCTCTTTGTGGTTTATTCCTGACATCTTCATCGTCAAGCTCGGAACAAATCGATTTATGCCTATGTGTGTTGCCCTTGGACCTCCTCGGTACTGATTTGCTAGCCTCAGAGCCATCCTCACTTTCTTCTTCGTCCAAAGAAATGCATTGTTCAACTTCAAAATCAGAATCGATGTCTTCTGGATATTTAACCTTCCTCTTCCCCTTAGCATCGCCCTTGACCTCCATTGGATTATTTTGAGAAAATCGTTTCTTCTGAGCACTAGAACGAGTAATCGGGCGTCTGATATGCGATTGATCTTCCACAAATGACTTTCTCTCCTTTATAACAACGCCTTGGGTCTGCTGATTCTTCTTGGCAAACGGAATTTTCTTTTGAACGAGCCTTCGACGCTCGGGAACTGCAACCTTGGGATGCTTTTGCTCCATAGCTCCTCTGCCTTCAGATGAAGTATCAGAGACATAGTTTTCGTCCTTCTCTCTCGCCATCTAGATCGAGATTTGTTTCCAGAACTTTGCTTTGAACATATTAGGGTAGGATCTGAAGAAAAGGTAATTATCAACTCCACTGCAATTTTTTGATATGCGTGTGTGCAGGTTGCGTGTTTTGGTGGAGGAGATAATTTCAGAATCTCAATTAATGATAAAGTTACCGTTTTTTATCCAGCTAATTAATGATTAATTAGAGGTGGGAAAGTGGGATTGAATTTTTGCATAATTTCGTAATTGGGCCTTTAAAAAATCAGATGTGCGAAACATTTTAAAATCTCGTATAATGGGCTTCATAAAAACCTGAGCTCGTGCGCAGGGTAATTTTTTCTATATTAATGGTGCGACCATATGATAATCATTTAAACTAATATTCATTCATGTGCACATGCATATATATATATATATAAATAAAATATTATAAGTTATATGTATGCATATAGTACTAAAATTAAAAGTAATATAATGGTATTATATTTAAAAAATTAAATACAAGTAAAAATAAACAGTACAAAATTATTTAACTGCATATGAATCACTATATGAATTGGATAAAATGTAATGAATAATGAGTTTTTTCCTTTTTATAATTTTGAGGGATCATAATCAATAATTAATTAGCTGAAAAAAATTAAAATAATTATTATAGCAATTGCTTATGTGAATTTAAGTTGTTCAACTGTAACAGTAAAATCAATTAGTTTACTTAAAATAAAAACAATCTCGCATGTGATAAACATATATAATATTGATGTAGAATAAACAAACTGAAGAAAAAGTTTTACAATATACATATTTTTATGCTTATATAACTTTCATGTGTCATTTAGTGTAAAATATAATTAGTTAGTTTTAATAATAACTATTATATGATAGAATAAAAAAAAAAAAAATACTCAACTAATATAAAATGTAACGGTTTGTTGTCATAATTACCCCAAAAAAGAGCGGAAAACGATTTTTTTTTGCATTAAATTTATATCGTTTTTGTCAAAATATCAATTTATAATACGTTGTTATTTCACTTTTAATCAATTTAAATATTACTTAAAGTTGGTTTATATATTGTTTATATTAAATAATAAATTTAATTAATAATTATCAAAAGAATTAACATATGCTGTAAAAAATCGGTTGGACTTTACAATTTCTAGTACGATATTTGAAACACTGCAGGAAAGTGAGCATATATATTAAATCTATATATATTGAAAAAGAGAGGTAGATAAATCAAATGAGGAAAGTTTTAAAAAAACTTGCAGTCAATCAATTTGACCTACTTAATATGGTAACCATTTTAAACATCTTAAAACAATATTGATTTTCGATTTTTTTTTTTTTGACCGTAAAAAATCTGATTTTTATGAAATCAATCTATTTTTTATGAAATCAAATGTGAGGATTTTTAGGAAATCTGTTCCCATGATATCTTATCAATTCTTAACAATCCTTATTTTTACGTGAAGATAAATGTATATTACAATCTTATCAAAATCAATTTAATATCTTATTAAAATCACTCCTTCATTATCGCTGGAAACTTAACTTACCGATCAAAATCACAATCACATCCAAACAAATTCTAGCACTCTCAAAATTAGATCTAAACAATTCAGATCCAAATTAATTATCCCAAAATCATATCCAAACCAATTGGCTTAACATGAGAAGGGAACGACAAAGCTCCATCGAGTCTTCTCCATAGTCGATGAACGGCCGGGAGGAGCTTAGCGACTCGCTAGAGAATCTCGGGATCTGCGTGCCGGAGGAGAAGTGTTGCGGGCGATTATCGGGAAGACTGACGCCGACGGCATTGCCTAGGTGGACGTCGAGGAGTTTGGCGCACTGGACGCGGCGACAATGGAAGACGGCGGAGGCGACGAGGGTGAGGGTGACATCGGTGAAGAGGACGTGCGTGAGGCGTTTAGAGTTTTCGATCGGGACGGGGCGGGTTAATCACGGCGCTGAGGTTAGTGTTGGCGGTGCTAGGGTTGAATAGGTGAAGACGTCTGAGGATTATCGGAGTATGATCATTACGGGCAACTCTAATTTGCAGCCTTGTGGTGGGAATGTGAGGAAGGAACGAATGGAGTCTCAGTTTTGCAAGTATAGTGATGTGGGCCCAAAGGTTCTCCACGGAATCCCAAACCCCTTGTCTGATTAGAGAAAACACGGAAAACGAGTTTTGCAATGTGACTGAGAAAGGAAATGAGTATTACAGTTCAGGAGAAAGGGGGATGTCCAGACAGATTGTAAAAGGTTAGACTTGGAATAGATGCAAAAGTTGCTCTTGAGGTTTTGAGACTTTTTTTCTTTCTTTTTCTGGAAAAAAAAAAAAAAAAAAAAAAAAAAAAAAAAAACATGTCTCTCATAAGGTACTGCAAACACCTGCTCGAGGTTCGCCTTTTTTCAACATATTCTCACGATTAAGGATGTGTAGTTTGTGGTGCAGAAATTATCAAAATGTGTTAGACTAAATGTTAGGGGCATCTCTTGTGAGTATCCCCATTTGCATCGTAGAAGCAAAAAAAATTGTTTGTGTGTGATTTTGGTGCTGATATTATGTGTTTTGAAGAAGGTATGTGGCAGTATTCATCCGCTTTTGGGTTCTGTTTCGAGTGCCTTCTTCTTCGCCCTTTGTGTGTATCTTTATTATGCTATCTTTTATTAAAAAAAATTGGCGTTTTCTGTTTCAAGAATCGGGCCATACTGGCGCTCGGGCTTCGAAGGTCTGGATCCACTCCAATGTTCCGTTGTTTGATTATGAAGGGTTTGTTCTCAGTTATTCTTCTGTTCGTTTATTTTGTGATATTTCAGGAAAGATGTAAAGAATGCCTCTGTATGAAGAGTATGGAGGCCTGCGCAGGTATGCCTGGATTTTTTTTTCTTTTACGGGGATGTTAGACTCAAAGGGTGAAATTATTTAGAGATGAGACTAACACGAAATCTTTCCATGGCCCGTTGGTCAGCACTCACCACCTTATTTTCTCCCAAATTTCACATTTATTAGTGCCACGTTTTCTGATTTCCCATTGCTATTTGGAAGGACAACTCCTCCATTTCCTTGGAAAAGGAACTGATAAAAACCTCAAATCTCCATTCTTAAATTTATAATATTTTTACATCATCCTCTCTCTTATTTCTACAATTTCACGTGAAAGTTGTAATCGTTTTTTTGAAATATAATTAGAGAGTGGAATGGTCTTTCTTTTACCTATTTTTTTTAAATATACAGATCCACAGGCAGCTCTTCGTGTTTTAGGAGCTTTAGGTATGTTTTTTGATTTTGGACTGTTAAGTGTTATGGAACTGTAAGTTCAAGTTACATCTTACGGCATTTACTATTGCAAAGAGACCTAATTTAATTGCATCATGGGGGTCTCGATGTTTCAGACAATGGTTGTGCCCGTGTTCGATTTGATGGCGGAGGATTTGAGAACGGTGTGCATCGATGGCAGGACTAGGAGATACAAGTGGAGGGTATCGTAGTTAAAGGCGCTCCTCGCGTTAACCACCTGCCATGAGATAACTTTATATAACTTTATAGGTAAAGTTAATTGAGATCCGGTCCACAAGTTAAGAATTTTTTTGTGTCCTTTTCCTTTTTGAGGAAACAACACAATAGCAAGTCACTTTATTCAAGGGGAAATTATAGTATTTTCACTGTTACCTGTAGGTCACTTGTGGAGGTGGCTGCAACCGGTGAGAAGTGTTAGAGTAGGGTACCCGGCGTTCCAATCTAATTGGACGTATTCTACTTGTAAATACAATCTATTGGAATTATATTATGAATAAGGCATTTCTTTATCTTAAGAGAAAGCATTTATCTTATAATTGCACTTAAGATAAAATCCCTAGATCACTTATGGTTATAAGGTATGGTTGCGCATAGAGATAGTGATCATGGAACATACCTTGAAAGCGGTGATCTTAAATACAGTTACAAGTCGATGGATGTTTCGAGATGGGATATCGAATAATCCATAAAAGACTTGCACATAGTTTGTATGCTTGTTGGACAAGAATGTTGCATTCCATCAACATTAGCGTAAGACGTAAGTACATTTATGTGGGTGCTTGTTAGAGAACAAGTTCACTGAACATGACCGTATGAAAATTCTTAATGAAGAATTTATTCAGTCGAATAAGAATTTTCATGTTACAATAGTACATGATTAATCCTAAGACTTGAGGCACAATAGTAACTTTGTGCATATTACATTTTACTTTGATTTATCTTTTTGGTAGCTAGCACTATCGTTTAAAGGGATAAGTTGGGTATTATGTTAATATGTATGGAAGTTTGTTAGTGGCCAATAAAGGATTCGACACTTATGAAGATAAGTGAATTTCCTATGTGTTTCATAGTTATTAAT